TATATATATTATTATATATATTATATATAGTATATATAATATATATATATATATATATATATATATTATATATATATATATATATATGTATGTATGTATGTATATAGATATATATATATATATCATATATTTAGGTATCTGTTTCTTGCAAAAACGTTTGGTTGTAAAATCATGTGATGTGTAATTCTGCAAATTGTATTTTCCATTCCTCCAAGTAGATATTCGTGTTCTGCACCGCTATTCATATCACAAGATCGTTCAAAGTCTGCCCCCTGTTTCCTATTCAAGTTTTACACATGTGTATGTAGTTTTCGATCTATGAAGAGTATTGGTATATTTATTTTTATTTGAGTGTAGCAGTTGTACATCAAATTTTCGTGTTCCATATACTCGATCAGCGGACTGGGATACTCCATATGCACACTACCTAGTTCAACTAAGGGTATATTCTTGTCTGCTCATACACATTTGATGAAATAGTAAATATGTACAGCCATTTGGGTTTTCAATATTATAAGTATATTTGTTTCTAAAAAAGAATATATTGCCTTTGGAGTCTGCCGATTGGGTGTTATTGGATCCAGCATTCCAAGTCCCAGATTATCTTTATTCTTCGGATTTGCAAATGTTAAATGTAGGAGTGGCCATTGCAGCAACACAATGATTTATCATTCACAATTTCACATGGTGATCACACAACTTGCACACAAGGTGACAAGGATCGTAAACTTCGTGAAGCCATCGAAGGCCCAATCCTCTATGTATGTAGTTAAATTCTTTATAATTTAAACCATCTAGTCTAGCGTATACTTACTTACTCCTAGTATTGACTCTGTCTTTTATTGTTCTTGAATGTATAGACTTGGTCATGTATACTTCGACTTATTGCTTGCCCCAGGGTCCCAGTCCCCCACCAAAGTAGTTACCCTACATAAATATCAAATTTCAAATTTTAAATGGGCTATGTATAATATATTGCTCCAACTTCATCTATTTAAAATGTCATGATTATGACTGCGAGAATATGAATATTACCCAATAGTTGTCTACGTACTCCGATCTTCTTTTGCTTTTTCTCGAAAAATCTTTGATGCTTTAAAATTGGGTTAAAAAAATCGAAATAAAAACAGCAACAAAATAATAGAGGTCAAACTTTAAAAAACAAAAAAAACAAAAAAAACAAATTCCAAACCAACAAACGTTGTGATTCTTACTGTGCCGACTAGGGACAACTGCGAGGCTGCGAGCCTGACTGCTCGAGTGCTCACTGCAGTGCTAAACTGTCAAACTATCTCACTTCTTGTTGTGTACAATTGACAAATTGTATGACTTATGTTCTCTCGTCTCTCACACACTCTCTCTCACCTGTTGTTTGTGATATGTACAGGCTGAGCTACTGAACCACTTCATCCGCGTGAACCTGTTGTGTGGGTGTGACAAGTGCTGTGAAGTTGGTGACAAAGTGCAATGTGGACTGTGTGGAGTCGTGACTCTGTGGAGTGTGGCAGACTGGCAGTGCCTGTGCGATGAATTATGTGCAACAAAGTGAATGGAGCCAATCAACCCCCCCAACAATGTGAATGGTGCCAATCAAACCCCCCCCACTTCCGGACCTCAGGGCCCTGGTTCTGGACTTCTATGGAGAATTGGAGAGTCGAGTCTCAGACTCTCAAGTCTCAAGACTCAGGCTCTCAGGCTCTCTGGGCGACAAATGATTCCAACGTAAGCTGTGAGCCTGTGAGCCTGTGAAGCCGCGTGTGGGTGAGACTGTGAGTGCCCCACTTTCCCGTGAGTGTCGGGCTGTCGGCCTGCGCCTGTCGCCTGTCGGCCGTGGGCCCGTCGGGGCGTCGGGTGATATGTCGGCCCGTGAGCGAGAGGAATTTAGGATGGCTACTCCAGTCTCGAGTACTCTCGCCAGTCGCCAGTTCTCCACACTCAGTCTCCCACACTCGCACACTCTCAGTCTCTCACTCTCAGTCTCTTGTCACCCTGCCACACAGTCACTATGTAGTAGTATACACACCCTCTCGCTGAGGCTCGCTCAATCGCTCATGCTATAGTAAAAACAATAAAATATAGATACTCTTGAGTATTATTTAAGAGCAATGCATAGTGGTATCATATTCATTGACTCATTGTACACAATAATACTATAATGTTTTTATTGAATACAGCAACAGTTTTCTATTTTTTATTAGAAAAACAATTCCAGTTACATATGTAGCGAACTACATTGCGAAGACATGCTCTCTCTCTGAGGGAGATCTCTAGTAGTGGAGTTTTGGATACTTTAATAGGACACCAATATACCGATCTGTATCATTGCACATACTGCGGAAGTGCAGCGCGACACATTGCGCCCAGAACTCAAAAGTATATCACACCTTCTCGGGTTCTATTGCAGTAGATATTGTATACGATCGAGGCCCATATAGTATTTCAGACGGACTATGCCATTGTGCATCATACATAATCCGTCTAAAACCAGTCAGTTATTGCGCTCGTCGCACATATAGGATCTTCAAACTTATATGATATAGGAATACACAAAATTACAAGAGTAAGATGCCACCACAAATCGATAGCGATTCAATGCCTGGCGGTGCTATTGAACTGGCACCGTCGGTCGTTGTTCGTGCCCCCAAATTGGGCAAGAAAGAACAAGCAAATGCTAGAAGTAATGTGACTATGACTGAGATGAAGAATGTGGGATTGACGGATACGATACGGAATGTCCGAGATACACGTAGCATTACAGGCGAAGAATTCAATACGCTCTCGCTGTGGCTTTTTATTTGTAGTTTTGTATTCAACGGTGCAGTCTGTGGCGTGATGTTCTATTTCTTTAGCTTCAACTCACACTTCGCCGATGACGACAACACAATAGTCTTATATGTCACGTTAGGTGTTCTATGCCTCGTACTACTCGAAGTAGCGCTCACAGCGGGTTATTGCCTGATCAGGAGGAATGCACCACTGTTGAAATGCCGAGTACGAACTCACATGTTTATTAATTTCCTGATGATGGTGATCGTAGTTCTGGTCGCATTTCCTATTTCGGTGGACGATCTAGGTATTGCAAATTTGCCGGAGCCAGTGAGAATAGCGTTGTTGGGAACACAGTCTTTAGCCGTTTCTATTGCGGTAGCGTCGCAGGTCGCACGACAACGATTGATCTACGTGCTTTTCGGAATTGGCAGCCGTATCAACCAGACAGAACCTAAGTGGGCCTACGGGATCACTCTGATTTTCCTCTGTTCAACTAGTATACTAACAATGATACCGTTTGTATTCCTCTACAAATTCGAGGATGGACGTTATCGTGATTGGTCTGAGTTACCGATCACAATTTTGAGCATACTGTATGTCTGCTTATTACTCGTGTACACATACTTGACTCATTCCAGCCAGGGTGTCAATGAGTCGTATAGTGACTGGCGGAGTAATGTGCGCGTTGGCCTTGTGCTGACGATGGCCATACTTTTTAGCTGCGCTGCCAAACATGGATTCACCAGGGCGTTCAAGGAGAGCAATTTTCTGCTGCTACCGACATATGTTGCGCTTTTCACTGTCGCTGTGGTGATCTTGGATATCTTCGGTACTGTTGCTTTAATTACTGCCATGGGTTATGAGCTGAAGGGACGACTTGATCCGCAACGAACAAAATTCTCATCCTCGCACCATGCCTTACCAGAGGACAAAGATAGGAGAAAAAGTAGGGGCGAAATTAGCATGTATAGTGAGCACAAGCTGAACACAGTTCCCAATCGTCTTCTCTGTGACTCGTTGCAAATTGATCCGAAGGTGATGCGATGTTCCGACGAAAATACGATAGACCTAATGCAAATGTCTGCAGATGTCGCACGGATCTAGAATATGAGCGATTACCTTACAATGTGGATTTGTACAACATAAACTGCGTGGATACGTGTAGGATTCCTCTACGCACAGTAGCAATAAGGATAAATAGCGAGCTACCGAAAAATTAGATAAAATTAGTCAGAGGGTATATCAAAGATGTTGGTATTTATTATCGTGGTTGTGTGTATAGTGACATGCCTCATTTTAAGTAGACACTATTATTAAGAGGATAGGATCGGAACATTTTTTTATCATTGTGGCTGGGAGTTTTGTGTAAAATAGTTGCCACGGCGGAGCTTACATTGGGTTCAACAGGAAGCCCAACTTTGTTCTAAATTTGTGCTTGCTACAGCTAAACCTATCGATACCGGTTGATTATGTTTTGGGTACAGAGGTGGGCTTAATTAATCATACTTGAATTTAAAATACACACGTATGTGGGGTTTTATGAGCGGAACTTCAAAAAAGATCCTAGTATATTGTCACCTGCACTCGAGTACAATTTTGCTCTTAAACAATTCCAGATAATAGTCCAGCGTGTATTAAATGAACGATTGACAATATGGGTCACGTTCGCAGTGACTGCTAGCGAATATATATACAGACAAGAGAGAGACCCTACTGAGAATATTATGTTTCCGCCTCACACTTGCTAGAATTAGACAAACAACTATTTGCTACACCGAGTGCATAGCCTTCTTGAAAAAAACAGGCTATGTGGCGAGTGTCTCCAAAAAATGGTTATTACATATGTTTACAAACAGCTACGCGTCCATGGGACTGGACTGGCACCTCCTCATTGCCTCATTCATAGCCTTCTAAATTGAACACCTCATTGCAGATGCAAACAAATAAATACTTCACATTCAGTGTTATTTTCTGTTGTTCTGGTTTTAGTCATGGCAATTTTAGCGGGATCTACTACAAATTATACAAATACAACACTGACGAAACAAAAGCGGCCTGAATATACATGTAAAAATAATATTGTGTTCTTTTGTTTCTTTTGTATTTATAAATAATAATATTGTAGCTTGTATCTTGTGAAGTTGTGCATACAAACTTACGGTCCGTGTCTCAGGGTGTGAACGAACATCCCATGAAGACAGCGTGACTTCGTAAACTCCTCTATTGAAATCTTAAGATAGTTTATATTTTATAAAATTTAGTAACAGGAACAATAGTGAGTTGAAAGCCGATAAACTCCGGAATCACTGTAATTGCAATGGACTACATTAGTAAGCGGACCAAAATTGGAAGTGCCGCAGCCGAGGCTGAAAACTGGGAGGAACAGTGTAAGGTATGATATAGAAGATCAGTGGAACACTACACTATCATGTAGGCTTACTTCATCATGTATTGTTGAATATGAAAAAGTTACCCTTATATATTTTATAC